TGTGTGTGTGTGTGTGTGTGTGTGTGTGTGTGTGTGTGTGTGTGTGTGTGTGTGTGTGTGTGTGTGTGTGTGTGTGTGTGTGTGTCTATGGCTGAAGTTTACAGCATAATAGAGTCTTTACTGAATGCATAAAACAGAACAGCTCTGAACTAACAAATAGAGTCACTTACTTATTCATAATTTATTTCAATTTGCAAATAACCCACAGTCATATCATACTATTGCATCTATTTAATTTCAGATCAAAAAGTTGGTTTAAATATATATTTTACAAATAAAGTGGAACCAATGGATCTAAACCGTCCTCATGTTTAAGTCATCAACACTGAATAATCAGCTTGTGTGTACAGTCATAGAGCCACAGATTTTTTTGATATCCACACTAAGTAAAAGTGCTTTTCCACTGAGCGTCAGGAGCAGCTGGCAGGTCTTTGTATAAAAGCAACTTTTCCAGAAGCGTGAAGCCGCTTGAAGCTGTAATTAATGTGTAAAGGGGCAAAAGTTGCTTCTAATAACAGTTGTTTGGCTGGAAAACGTAAATTAATGAGCAGTTCTCATGCTAAGTGTTATCCCTCCTCAGTAAATGATTTTGTTTGTATTTCTTGGGGTATTTTTCTTACTATTTGTTGCTGTATGTATTTTTACGTACAGCACAGTGACTTTGCACTCAATGAAATTACTTCGGCCAAGGAGGTAATGTTTGTTTGTTGGCTGGTTGGTTGGTTGGTTGGTTTGTTTGTAAGTAAGACTATGCAAAAACTATTGGAGGGATTATTATGACATTTAATGGATGGATGCAATATGGGTCAGGAAAAAACCCCAAACCTTTAGTGCGTATCTGGATCAAGGAGCAGATCCAGATATTTCTGATCCAGATTTGTGAGTCGGCTGCTAACGTATTTTTGTTGACATCCATTAAAGTTATGGTAGTGTAATCAGTACTAAAACTGATATTTATGCAGATCCAAAAAAACAGATCTACTAAACTGAAACCTGGTTACATAAAGGAACTGTTGGACCTTGGTGGAGGTATGTGCTTCATTGAGTGCAATTCTAGGATATAAATAAAATTACCTTGCCTTCTTTTTCCCTTTAGGAAGAGTGTTGCAGTTAACATAGACTAAAAGGTATTATGGTAAAACCCCTCTTGATTAATGGCTTTTCATTTCCATCAAGGAAAATAAAGACTTTTCGCACTTCAGGGTAAACAACTTCATTAAATCAATTAAGAGAGTAATCTGGTGGTGCAGAAAAGTACAAACAATCATTTACACATTGCAGCCAGAGAAAAATGTTCACGTCTAGAGAATCTCCTCCCTGATAGATATAAAAGCACATAATAATATAATCACAGATTTGGTCTTGTTTGTCGCTGTCGAGCTTTCATTGAACCTTTCAGTGGCATTTTAATTATGATGCATTTACATACAATTAACTTGTGTGTGTGTAGAACTGACCTGTTCCAGGGCAAATATGTGCTGGTTGAAGTAAAACTGGATCTGCTCGTTTGCGATGTTGATGCACAGTTGTTCAAAGGAGTTCTTTTTGAAATTTTCGAATCCGAAGATGTCCAGGATTCCCACGTTCATGCCACTCTCCGCGGCACTTCAAAGAGGGAAAAACGGGGACAAGCAAACTTCAATTCTTCTATGTCATGGAACGAGCACATCCCCAGCAGCCATATTTAATTGATTAAACTTTAATGATAATCCAAGTTCAACCCAAATAAAGAGTATGGTCAGGATGGATGGGAAACTAAAAACATCAGCTTTAAAAATAGTCTGATCTTCTTAATGTTTTTTTATTTCTGTCTCTATTGATTAAACCTCCAGTTATTTTCTTCGTCTGCACAAACAACACATTTCCACAACACAGCATGAAGACTTTACACTGGGTATTTGATATTCTGAGCTCGGAGCTGCTACTTTCCACGATCAGTCATTAACCAGTGTATGTAGAGGTCACCTTTAGCCTGTGCGACCGGGTTATTAATGGCAATAAGAAAATGGCAAAGATGAGTGGAATGCAGACAGGAACTCTGAGCTTTTATACATCTCAGAGATGAGTCCTTGACAGTAGACGCCCATATTTATGAAGGAATTCTTTTGGATCAATGAACAGCCTCTTTGCAGTCTCTCTGATGTCTTTTTAATCATCCCAACATTATTTTCTCTGCACGCAACTCTGTATCAAAAATTTATCAAAACTTTTTTTTGCTCTCCTTTTGCTTGCCCATTGATATTCTCCTCTGCAGGTTTGCATCTACCTCTGCAGACTTCCATAAAGGTCGTCGGAGCTTTACCGAGATGCCGCCTGATGGTTTGAGACAAAGAAGAAGACAAGAGAGTAGTGGTGGATGTCTGCACTGATGCTCATCACCGGAGCACATCTCACCAGGTATTCATGTCAGGCTGCAGCAAGGAGTTGATGCGGTTCACTATCCAGCTGAAGAGGCGTCCGTACAAGGCCTTGGACATGGCGTCTCGCACGTCGGTGGCTTTGTCCACGGTGTTGGTGCGGATGATGGTCTCGCCTCTGGTGACCACGCACTGAGAGGTCAGCGCCTCTTGGAGCTCCTCAGGGCCGATGTTGAGGAGAGACGCAGCTAAGAAAACAAGAAAGATCAAGAAATTAGTTTGATAGTGAAGATGTCGTCTGCCTCATTAATATAGAAATCCGCTAGGACTTTCTTTTCCTGTGGATCTGTTTGCTTCTTTACATTTTCAGTTTATTCAAGTTTTCCCTCTTAATTTCTTAGTAAAAAGATGAGAATAACAATTCTTTGGTTTTGTAAAAGTGCCCAGCCCACACAGACTGCAAATCCATAATGAATCATGTATCACTAAAGAAAACTACTACACAACATAACAAAATATAACACAGACTAATTAACACATGTCTTTTATTTTTCCCCTTCCCACGCTCTGCGGATAAAATCAACCACTAAAAGGTTTGATTCTTAAAACTAAAAATCATCCAACCAGAAAAAATGTTACGACAGATTCCATAAATCATCACACATATAAAGCATGAAAAATAGACTCTCTCTTTTAATCTCACCTACATCACATAAAAGTCTCTGTTCTCTCTGGGGAGACCATTAAAACTCTTTGGTTCTATGTTGGAAAGAAGCGTATTGCTGACTTCTACAGCTCACGTTACATATCTCACCGTTCTCCAAGGCCTCTGAGTTTGGTACTTCGCTCTTATCAGTCTGGTGTTGGGATGTGATGGCTGCAAATTCAATATTGCCTGTGTTCAAAATGGCTGAGAGAATTCTGTAGACAGAGTTGACTTCCTAAAAAACAAAAGACCAATAAATAGATTTTTACATAGTAATGAATGCATCTACAAATGACAGCGGCGTAGAACATTTTGAATGTTTAACCACCTCTTCAGTAAAACCAATGTTTCGGAAGCACTCCTGAATTGCATCAAACTGCTCCTTGTACAGTTTGCTGGACACAATGTCTTGCATGACTTTGCAGTGCTGGTTGTCTATGTACCTGCAGACACATATAATGTTAGTTTCCATGATGGGAAGTGAAAGACAGCAGGATTTCAAAGAAACAAAATTGTAGCACTAACATGGGAGGTGTCTTGTCTGGAAGCCTGTACGTTTTCAGCTTGTCTTGGTGGTAAAGTCCAGCATATATGTAATAAAATATGTGGAAGTTTTTCTCCCCCCTGGAGGAAAGGAAACAGAGTTGTCAGAAATGTGACATATGCAAATCCAACCAGATCAAGGATGCATAGTACACACATGGCCTGTTTGATGACCCTCGACTTCTCCAGCAGATATTCGGATATCTTGGCCCCGATCACTGCTCCCGTCGGCGTGAACTTCATCTCAAGGTACTTCCCAAAGCGACTGGAGTTGTCATTGATCGCTGTGCAGGCATTTCCGAAGGCCTCGACGAGGGGGTTCACCTGCAATATCTTTTCACGCAGCGTCCGATTGTTTGCCTGGAAACAAAAACACATTTCTTTAATGAGCTGTGGTATGATTGGTTTATGAAGTTTATGCAAAATTCAACAGAAACAATGTCAGATTGAACCAGAAGAGAATGACCACACTGCTGTACCTTTCCCAAGAAGGTCAGATGTTGAACAATTAAATGAGCGCTCTCTGTTTTTCCAGCGCCACTCTCCCCACTGATTATGATGCACTAAAGAAAAGAGAAAACAAATAGAGTGACTCAAATATTTACATTTCATTAAACACATCATTTAACCAGGTAAAGGTTACACTGTCGCACACGTAAATTCAGCTCAAGAGGAAAAATAATGCAAAATGAAATCACAAAAATTCCAGAGCATCCCTCTCAAACATTTGAAAACAGACCATATATTGCTTTAAATCGTCTTCTGTAAAGTTTTCATCATCCTCATCCTTTTTCTACAGAATACCTGGTCTTTGCAGAATGTCACCATGCCTTGGTACGCTGCATCTGCAGTAGCAAAGATGTGTGGAGGGTTGTTAGCCCGCTTCACACCATGATACAGCTTAGAGAACTAAGGAGAGATGCATGAATACATAATAATATACAATATGTTTTAGTATTTTACATAATTTCCAAGAAAATAAATAATTAACATTATTAACATGAGAATATCTGGAAAGAAAATCCCACACATAATCTATACACCCACATGTTAACATTTTTGTTTTCCTCTGTCAAACACAATTTAGAGTTTACAGATGATGTTGTCCTCTGATGGGAGAATCTCATAAAATATAGATCCAGAAAAGAGTCAGATTTTAGGCCAGATTTTCGATTATTTTTTATAGTACTCATACTGCGATCAGCCACAACATTAAAAAAGGTTACTGGTTAAATGTTTCGGTAGATTTTTTTTATTTGATTTTTTCTGCTTGGTATGACCTGAAATTACACAATGAGATTTAAATCAGATGACTGATGGTTCAGAATGACCTCTTTCAAAACATGCCACAGACATACACATATCAGTATATCATAGTATATCAGTGTATAGTATATTATGTGCACCCACTACAATAGGACCAATGGCAGTGAATCAATCAGCATCATTTGTGTGATTGGTCGAAAGCCAACCTGGGGAGAGTAGATGCTGAGGTTCTGGAAAGGGTTGAGCGCGATGAGGATGTCACCAACGTAGGTGTACACCTGGAGCTCATCGTATCTTTTTTGGAGATGGCTGATTATTGTCTCCTGCTCACAAAAAGAAAAAAAAATACATCGCAACAAGAACAATGTACCTTGCGGCAACCAATGCACGATGAGATAAACACATTAAATCTTACCTCATCTAAGAACTCCAGGTTTACCAGATCATCATCGGGGCTGCTCTCTATTATGAGGGTTTTACGAGTATTGATCCGCTCGTGCCTGTATGAAACCAAGGACATGATAATGCCTCAGTGAAGTAACCACCAGATGAGAAGTGGTAGTTTAACTGGCTGGATGTAAGACCCAGTCACTTCAAGGTTTGCGTGAAGCCCTTAAAGCCTGAATCCCAGGGGACACATCTCCCACTATCAGAGGCTGTGATTGCACTTCATCTGTGTTTAGACCGATCGCTATCCAACGGGCCCCAGTGGGCAGAGGTCAGAGGTTCTGTGGGGCCGCTGGAAACCTCAGGGGAGTGTTTGAGAGAAATAGAGTCTGTGAGGGCCTACTGCTTTATGTGCCTGTATAAATGTAGTGTATGCGTAGCACACAGTAATGTACTGTCCACAATCAACCCTCTCTATGGAATTTAAAGGGAAATACATGAAATCCAAAAAAAAAACTGAAACCAAGAATGAAACGATTCTACCGCCCTGTATTTTCCATATAGCAAAAGCAAAATATGTTTTTAACATTTGTCATTTTTGTTGATTGTAATTTCATCTTACATCCAGGGCTGCACGATATATCGAAAATGTATCGTCATCGCAATATTTAATGTTTTCGCATTTTTTCCTGATATCTTGCAGACCTACAGAAATCAGTATTAAACAGCTCTTAATTAAGTGACAGCTCAGAGGTGTGATCTATATCGACTTTACTCTGCAATCTAAACATTAGCCAGCCAAGCTAACTTTAGCTTTGACTGTTAGCTCAGGTAGCTACACCTGGCACTTACCAAGTCTAAACATTTAGTAACAACTAATAGATAAAATGAAAATTATATTTCTATAATTGTAATTTGTTTCATTCAGTGGTGTGCACTTGGATGGATGGATGATAGATGGATGGATAAATAGATGGATGGATGGATGGATGGATGGATGGATGGATGGATGAGTGTAATTAAGTAGCACAATCATAAAGTTTTTAAAATATTTTTTTCAGGCAATAAGAAAAACACAGAACAACACCAGCCTCTTTCTTTAATTGATAAAAACCTCTTACATAAGAGCACTTCTGGTTACTTCTCCAAAACATAAAATAAAAATCTAAATGACTAGATATATCTATATTCTATTACAATAAATAATCAATCACAGTATATAAATTCAGATATTCATTCTTCAGGTCCTGAACTGTTTCCTCCTCTGCCTTTGTATTCATTCTGTATTCTGAATATAATGGAAATACTCAACATCTGCTCCCGATAAAGTGACTATCGTCATCATGTCCCTTCAGAGAAGGACTTCAGACCTGCAGCCTCTACCTCCTTCTCTCCAGCTTTGAAGTAAATCACACTATTCCACCTATGGCAGACACTTTTAAGTTCCCTATGTCTTTATTCTTATCTGGAGTCATTGTGCGCTGATCTGTGGCATGAGAGACTAAACCAGGCGAGCCCAGTTCTCGCCCTACAAGCTCCTAATCCCATTATCCACTTTCACTGTGGACAGGAATTCGGGATCAGGCTCAGGCAGCGACTCTGCACACTCGCGGGAGTAAACAGAGCTGGCACAACATCAAGACTCCGTCAAGGGCAGGTTCAGCAAACTCCTTTATAATGAAGATTAAACATTGCCAACGTCAGTATACTTCTCCAGGAAATAACAGGAGACATTCTGTGCTGTCATTCACTGACATGAGAGTCATCATATCCCATTTAACAATAGACTATCTATCTATCTATCATCTTTCCATATATCTACCTATCTATCTATAACTAAGGAAATAAATATATAGTTAATTGAAAAACAAGCAAATAGAGGAGTAATTCATTTTCAGGAGTAAATGAACCCAGAAAAAAATTATCCATTAACTCTTTCACTGGTTTAATCATACTGGTGGGAAAGTGCTTGGAATCTAAGACTCGTCCCCATCACACAGTTGCCTCATCCACTGGCCTAAATAGCATTTATTAATCTAAGGTTAGTCAGCACAATCACTCCTTCTGAATTAGTCACACTCCCCTAACTTCTCTTTAATCACATACTGTAATGTCCATTACAGGCGCTCATCATCATCATCATCATCATCATCATCATCTCTATGCTCGAGTGTAAGAAGATGAGACCCTGCCCCCTACTGGACAAAAAAAAACACTAACAGTCGGTGGCTATCTGCAGCAGCAGAGATAACCAATGACAGCACACAAATGAGGAAATAAGCATTGCCACTATTCTTCAAAGAGCTATATTTTATTCTTAATTACATTTCAAAATAACTTACTTGGTTTTGGTTTTGCAGCCCATTTCTTGCTGCTCCTCGATTAGAGCAGCTAACTGCTGCCGGAGAGCCACCTCTTTGCCGTGGGCCTGCTTGATGAAGGGATGCTCTAGGAGGTGGGTCACAGACGGACGTGCCTCGAAATCCTTTATCAGGCACCTTTACAGACACAAAAATACCACAGCGTTAGTTTACCACCTCCACACTAACTAACAGTCAGTAAAAAGAGTCACTCATTACTAATACACAGCTAAGTATGGAGTCACCTGAACATTTTAAAAAGCTGATTTGTCTGGGTCAGCTCGGACTGACAGTCACGCCAGCAGGGAGCAAGTGTTTTAAAGTCTGGGTCACTAATCTGTCGTTCTCTCTTCCAGTACCACATGGTCACTGTCACCATGGCCCCAAGTCCAAACAAGCCCTGCTGGGGCACAGCGGTAAGTCCTATCTGTGATGTGCAGTGTTTGCCAATAGGTGATGTCACTTAGTGACACTGGCCGGCGGGAACACTTCAGCATCAGTTTGTCTTTGATACAAAGCCTCTCAAAATATTGACTGTGACAACACCGTGAACTGAAAACACAGAGCAACACGTCCATATTGAAACTGAAGTTATAAGGCCTGAAATCCTCACCTGAACTCAAGAAAGCATCAGCATCAATATTCCACATGTGTCCTGTTCATTTGTTCAGCTAAAGACCTGAAGCATCTGACTGTGTGTGTGCAAAGAGCTACAACACCAACAACTGCAGGCGGAGGTAAGATAGGAGAAAAATACCAATCTAATTACGAGTCCCTAATCTACACTCAAATTCTGTTTCTTTTATCAGCTTGTTCAGCTCTGAAAGTTAATTCCATGAATTCATTAGAACCAGGACATTAAGCAGAGGTTGCTGCTATTAGCAGGGCTGTGCTGCCGGGATGCTGCACGGCAGGCCACTTTGTCACAGGAGTCGGCCCTTTGGCTGCACAAGTGCAGACACTGGTGATGGATTTATTATCCCAGACCCCCCCACCCTTCCACCTCTCCCAACACACATGCAGACCTGACAGGGCTGAAAAGGCTTCAGAAACAGCCTGCAAACCTTGATAACATTGTCCAGCCTCCCCACATTGAACTCTGCCGGGCTTTGTTTGGGGAGATTAATTCTGATATGATATCAGACAATCCATTAACCCAGATTACAGAGCTTCAACTCACACAGTATCCAATGAAAACCATTGCAATGACGCTGTAGACGTGTAAAAAACAGTATCACTTAAATGTTTGTTGGCTGGTTTAAGAGGTAATATGCCTTGACTCTGTTTTGATCAATCAATATCTTTAGTGACGAGGCAGATGGTCTGTTTGTTTTCTCAATTGCTCCCTTTTACTCCAGCATATGTGTTAGACACACACAAATAATTCTCTAAAGAAATTGAATTCTATTTTCTCATTATGGTTCTGGCTCACACACCTCTGCATAGCAGATATTAAGGCTGTATATTGTGAGCAACCATTACAGGCCGCCGCCTGACATTATTAGCTTTGCACAGTGGAGGCATTGAGAAGTTATCTGGGCCACAGATGGAGCTGATAACTCAGGTGAATTAGTTTGTTCCTCTGTGGCAGATTTACACAAATGAAAGTCAATGAACAGAGAGACAAGAGGGTTGATAGAATCTGGCTATAAAATATAAATTTCAATTCCTTCCATGTTTACATGCACTTTCCCGCCTGCTGATAACATACGATAGCTACTGTTAGACTACTCCGGCTCAGGATTTTTTGTATTTTTTTTTATTACCGATGTATGTTCTATCATTACATACTGAACAAATTCTATATAAAATACTTTAGGCCATTCTTCATTAATTTTTGCCCATGTATATTCACAGGTAGGGGGCACTAGTTAAAGTAAATGTATTAAAACATGGAGCTGTAAGTAAAAATGCAGAATGTTCCTCCTGTCTATTCCTAAAAAAATATGTGTGTGTGTGTGTACCCCAACACACAACTTACCTTAATAATAATTACTTTTGATGGTAATAAATATATTATATCTATCAATCCATTTATACACATATGAAGACATGAGAATCTGCCTCAGTTCTTCAGAATAGGTAGAACAGTCTTTTTGGAACATTACATTTCTCCATCAACTGTGTGTTTTCACGACCCTTTTAGAAGTAATTAGATAAGTTCGGTTTATTCAGTATATAACCTTTCCCAGAGCAAAGTCACAAAGTGCTAAATAAATTAACACCATAAATGTAGTAATAAACAATAACTGCATGCATTAAAAGACAATTAAAATGCAGGGTTTCAACTACAAAGCACAAGGTGAGACAAAGGCCAATATGAATATATGGGTTTTCACTTGTCTTTTTAAAGGCTTCAAGAGATGCTTGGGAAGTAACAGCTTTTCTCTTAAGACTGAAGTCTGAAGACAGAGAGAGGATGAAGGCTGACAACTTAACGAAGTAAGAGGAGACTTACTGTCCGATGAAATGACTGAAACTCCTGCACCACTGTTCTGGATTTCGTAATGTTGGGGAGGGATTTCTGAAACAAAATCACAACACGAAATCAGAGTACAATGTGTGAAAAACTGAATTCATCAAATTTAAATGACACGATCGCTGCTGCAAATCAAAGACTTGTCTCCGGAGTTTTGCTGACAAATGATCACCAGCAGGCAGAGAGTGACCGGCGAGACTCCCGTGAGAGCCGTTGGTCTGAGGACGAGCTGGTCAGGCTCCAGGTCTCTGGCAGCCACAGAAAAAAGTGACAAATGATAACAGCTCCTCCACTGTCTGGCAGCAAGCATCTGCCATTGGGAGCCAAAAGTTATGGGAGCTAGTTATACCTCTGTCAGCAGCATTTACGGAGGCCATCCATAATGAGGCTAACGCTTTTCAAGTGCACAGGATGACAGGAGGCAGGTCTGTATGAGGAGCCAAGGCTGGAAGGGCCTGAGTACAGTCATCTTCACGGAGAGCTGACAGCTGGAGGCTGAACCTTTTATCACTGTCAGGAAAACAGTGACACGCCCGGTGAAGATATTTATTAACCGCTTTAATTAGCTCACGCATGTTGTTCCACAGAGCCATCAATCTGACAAAATACAACATGAGTTTGGATTCAAAACATTAAAAACTCTTCCACAAACAAACCAGAGTAAGATGCTAAGCTACACATTAAACTACAATATATTCCACATCTATTTTCCCCCTCTTTTGAAAGGGAGGAGGGATGTTGGGGCACAGGGTCTGTCATGTTACGCAGCACTAAGTTGGTTGAGTCTTTGATAAGGATTCAGGCAGCCAATCCTTTCCAAAGTGCAGATCAAAGCCTGTAACTGACTGCTTCAATGCAACCTCTAATATGAGCCTGAAGACACGTTCTCGCCTTGATGTTGTACCACACTGCTTATACATTACAAAGTCAATATAGCAGCATGGCTGATAACACCGTCAACTGTGCTCATTGTGCTTAGCAAATTCAGGCAATTTTTTCCCCCTTTCACCATTTGTGAGAGTGCTGGCTCATATTGTAAACACAAATGGCTTATTCCAATCTAGGTCCAGGCAGCGCTCGTACTGTCAGATGTTCCTCAAAGTGGATTGAGGAGAAAAAAAAAAGGTGTCAACGGCGTTTGACGGCTGTAACTAAGCCATGAAGGAAGACAAAAATCAGCCCCATGCAGCTGGATTTATAATTCTGCTTTCCATATGATGGTGAATATTTCAATTTTTCATTCAAGCAATTCTTCAGTTTGAACTTTACATTTGTCTTTGTTACTTTGTGATCAAGACTCAGTTAAAATTAGAGCCAGACTGATATGGATTACTGCACACCTCTGCCAATGTGCCTAATGAAACTGACCAACCCCCTAAATATGTCTGAATGTTTTCATCAAGATCCTATCACAATCTCACAATGTGAAAGAAATCAAATGCAGACCTGATCTAGATCTGCACCAAAATTTGTCGTGCCCCACCCCTCCACAACATTTGATGGAAATCAGTTGAGTAATTCTGTGTAATCCTATTAACAAACAAACAAAAAACCCAAAAATATACAAAATGAAAACATAAGCTACTGGGCAGAGGTGATAATTGACAATATGATTGAGCCTTGATCTATAAATACAAAAACTAGAAATACAATTAAATGTGAAGAAGTTAAAGATAACAGAAGTAGGCTCTACTTTGAATCCTTCCATAAACCTCTCTGTGCTGTAACTTGAATCAGTAGAATTAAAAATCGCAAATGATCTGTTTCTGTATCACACATCCACAGTTCACTTCTTCTAGAGCAGACATCATGAAGACTCCGGAGAAGATTAATGTGTCAGAAGAACATGCACCAATACTGAGTTGTTCTCGTAAATGTAAAAGTGGCACAGAGATAAATCTACATTTGCTGTAAATCTATCTCAAAGCTGCCTTGCATAACCTTGCTGACGCAAAATTGATTCTGATGAAATTTGAGCAGAATAAAGAGTATAAGCTTTAATACACTTTCAGGATTCATGCATTTCTTTGACTTACTGTAGAGGGCATTGGTTTCTGCAGAAACACAGTGGCCTTTAGAGAGTGTGAGGGCCTAAAATGAAGACTTATCCAGTGGATGGACCACCCGCTTAAAATCTCACCTCATCCATCACCTCAGCCTGAGCACTCGCACTTCTTCCTGCACACATGCATGAGTGCGGAGAACCGCTGCCACATTTATCATGTCTGTGGCGGTCACATCACCAAAATGCAGCAGTTCTCCGAACACCGAACATAGCAGTAAAATAACTGCATCAAAGAAGGAGATGATAGAGTAAATGTTAAAGTCATCCAACCAGCCAGAAACCTCTGGACAGGGGTCAAGACTGCATCAGAGTCTGATGATGACGATGATGATGTGATGTCATCCATTGATTTAAACAGACTTTTTATCCGTAAGATGTTTCGATTCAGTTATTTTAGAAAGTGTTTGGTTTTCACAGTTATGAGGAATTTGTTGAGCTTGGCAGGGAACACACAGTTTCCAAATCAACGTACTTCTGACATTGAAATCATCCAAATGCACAAGAATGATACTCAGTGGAGGGCGAACCTCCGCCAAGGCCCGACAGTCCCCTTATGAAACAAGATTTCAATGAACTAGATCTCAAATTGTTTTTGGATCTGCACCAAATTACACACACTCATATATATCAAACCCCTAAATAGGGAATTTTTATTCATCAAGATCTATGAAATATTTTCTGAGAAATCAACGACAATGTTAAAGAAAGTGAAAAATAATTCCGGATCTGTAAAAAATGTAATGGGTTTTGATTTTATAGATATCACTTTAGTAGGTTTCGCGTAATCCTGCTCACCAACACACAAACACCGATGAAAACATAACCTCCTTGGCAGAGGTAAAAAATGTTTTACTTTCCTCGATGGATCAGGGATTTCAGCTCAATGTAACATCATGGTAATTGAGTTTATTGTGAAATATTGGACCAAGATTCAATTTTGGACGATGTTAGTATGAAAGGGATGAACTCGAAATATATTTGGTGAATCCCTGAAATTTCCTGTTGTGCATTTCAGATCAAAGTTTCTATGTATCTTGTAAATATCTCATTAACTACAAGTTGGATCGGCATAAAACAGTGAACAGAAAGTCATGGTCCCCAGTGTGATTATGAGTGAGACAACATTGATATCCCTACCCTGTCCCTCACCAGGTCTGGATTCATCTCCCTGAGCCTCATGATTTGATGTGATTAGCCTCTCTTTCCTCTGACACGCCATCATTTACCTCTCTCTCGCTCCTTCTCTGCCGCTGCTCTGACAGATACGACTACTATTAAATATGTGGCTAGTATCTGCGGGGGATCTAGCTGAATAAATGCAACCTTGGGCGTCTTTGCCAATCGCCTCTAACCTTTACAGCGCATTTTACACACACTTTGGTTTAACGTTACATGGGACACTCAGGGGCCGTGCCGAGTAAAGAACATCGGTTCAAGCAATTAACCTTCGCACATATTAAGTATTGCACGCCCTCTTTTGTCTTGAGTATCTGTAATTAATTTTGCAGTTGATGATTTTACAACTTTACCCTCTGACACACTCCATTACCTCCATTCATGGTCATCACGGACATCACATACCTGTCGAACACGCTGTAACACATTCAATTAATTTAATCACAACAAAGAGCAAAAAACTCTTGGATTCATCTAGAAAACACACAAAATAACCAAATGATCTATCTGAGCTTTGAACGCATGCATGAGTGGACAGTGTGTCACAACTCATCAAGCATCAGATATTTCTGAAGCACAAACAGACCACGCACCAAGGTGACCCTAATTCATGGAGCTCATCAGCGTCCCCTCTGACAGATATCAGAGCTGCTCTTATCGTTTATAGCTGCTGGGACAAGAATCCCTTCCACCTGTGCATGTTTCCACTTGTACAACTTAAACTGGGACATAATGGTTCTCTAGTGCTGCTGCTGTCAAAGTCCCCCTGTGTGTTTATATCCTCCTCACCAGGAAATATGAAATCTGTAGCCCAACAAGAGAGACTGACATTTTTTTATATTGCAGACAGCAAGGAAAGAGTCTCCCTACAGAGGGCTGACTACACAATACAAGAACATATAAGGGAAATGTATAACATCACCTACAGCTATGGGAGTATTTTACTGTTTAAGTGTGTTTCAGGAGAAGAAGGAGAAAGTGGATGATACACACAAGATTAACAACATGGCAGTTAAACCTTTAGCCCGGAAACATGCAACTGTAAAATATCTGAATAATGAAAAAGCTTATTGCATGTTTTAGTGCTTATATGGATTTCATAAAGCATGTGCTACCCAAGGACAATACTTCAGAGAAGGCTCCTCTGGTAATGGTTTGTGACGTATCAAATTGAAAAATCTAGATCTAAATGTAGAACTTTGCAATCATCAAAACCTGGTGAAGATGAATCTCTTTGATTTAATCGTGAATCACTGTCACTGCCACTAAAGACCCAAAGGTGAGACGCATTTCCATATTTAGAAAAGTAATTCAGACAGGAGTCATAATTTACAGCAGGTTTTCCTGTGGTCTGGTCTGCCTCACCGCGGTGACGAGAAAATATATTTGAGATAAACGACATGTTAACAGAATCATTTCATGGTTCAACACATTCGCAGTGATTTATACCATGACTGCAGAGCTTTTAAGGTCCCGATTCACACACAAGAGGGCATCATATCTATTTTGAGTGGGAAAGAGATGGAGGAATGTCAGTTGGAGATGTACCTCCAATACTATTCAAATGGTTATCCCTAAAGTCAAAGACGCTAAGAACACTACAGTAATAAAACAGGATGGGACATTGACAAGGGGAAATGCATATGTCCCCTCTTATTATGTCTGCTGATAAGGAAACATGCCTGACAGGTACCACTCATCCAGTGTCAGGTTACTTCGGGTTAGGGTGAGAATCTTTAAGCTACATTTTCTCTCCCCCCTCAAAAAAATGACGCGTTATTACGTGCACCCCTGAGAAAAACCCATCCCTCTGCATGCTGCTTTTAACCATCCCCTTTCCCTGTAATTACCCTAAATTCCGGTTAAATTCTGGTGCTGATGAAATACTGCACCGGCTCCCATAAATCCTGCCCCACGGACCGTCCGTGTTCCTCCCCTGGCTTGGCACGGAGGAGATAACATTGTGACGGGGAGGAGATGACAGCCTCATCTCAGTGTGAATGGAGCTCATCACCAATGCAAATTGCAATCAGAAGGGCATATCTCCAGCTAACTGAGAGATAATTGCACGATTGTGCCGATAACAAAAGGTCAACAGCGTGCAGCCACTAAGCTCTAAAAAGATTATCAGCGTCTCCAGCAGGGGATATTTCTACAGATTAATCACTGCATTGACTTATTGCACTACAGTAGGACAATATGCTACTGTATTTTTTCAGTGATAAATATTTGAAACACTAATTATTCAGTAGATGCTTCCTTTCATGTAAGAAATAATGGAAAATATAAAAATGCAACGGCAACAACAAACATGGATGAAACCACATTGTTTAAATTTCAAGTCAAAATAAAAATGGATTAAATTAAAAAAGCTGATGTCATTTCCCCCTTTATCACCTCTGCTGTCAAATTCAGTTTGTCATTGTCCTCCTCAGTGAAAGGGATGAAACAGTATTTGTGTGTCCTTGTGTGGGCTGCCTCCAGCTGTGTGGCAGGAGCGCCCCCTGGTGGTCTCACCGTGGGATCTTGAAGAGGGCTTTGACTGGATGCATCTCAGCCAGGGGGGGGTCTCCGTCTGCCAGCTCGATGGCCGTGATGCCGAGGGACCACACGTCACAGCGGGCGTCGTACGAGTAATCATACTGCTGTTCACAGGCTATGACCTGGCAACACGACACCACGGTGACAATCTGAACATTTCATTTGACCAAAATACAGGTTGTCATCATAGCAGGTTAGGAAATGTGCCAGACAGAAACATTATGTCAAATTCATTTGAAATAAAGCACTTTATTAAAATAGCAGCTAAGTGATAATTTAAAGAAAGGCTCATAAAGCTGAATGTCCCTTCTTCTTTCCTATTTTAAGAGAAGAATCTGGCAGAGTTACAGACATCTATATTTATGGACTATTTAAAACACTGAGAGGTGGGTCAGTTCACTGGGCGGTGGTATGAGCTTCTCCTTCCACAGTCGATAATTATGACAGACACTACATTTTAAAGCCGAGTTTATTCTAATTGCCCATGAGGTCTCTCTCCGCCGACCCAATCACCGCACCTCATTTCTGCCACAGAGTCAGCCGAGGGGCCACAGACTCCTGGCTATTAACCTTGAGGCGACCTCGAGAGCTGTGCCCGTGGAGGGGAATACACAATGACACAGGGGAGAGCCACACAGAAATAACCCAGGCTCTCCTCCATCTCTCTTTCCTCTCTCTGTATCACATGAAAACAGACTTTGTTCCATTAGGCTCTGAGACACTGTGGCTATTTCACTGCTGCATTACAAGAGAGGAACGTGTGTGTTAAGTGAAGCACAGACTCTGACCTCAGGAGCCATCCAGAACGGAGTCCCCACTGAAGTATTCCTCCGCAGCCGTGCACTGGTCAGTTGAGCTGAAACACCTGGTGAAAGCAATAATAAAAATATAATTAGTTAAGGTCTAATAATAATCAAGATTTAGATATTAGTATTTCTATCAATTCCTATGAATGAAATAGAATTTATAGCAGAGACTAAACATTCGAATTAATCAATAAATCCTGGCGTATAATTTACTATGGCAACCTGCCAAGCAGTAATAACAATGGGCTATAATCATTTCAAATTATGTGGGACAGATTTTTATCAGCATGGGTCCACTTCGTCTCCGCTACACAAAGGACATAAACTTGCCTGGGGGTGACTCAAAGTCATTTGCCATAACAGTTTTCTTTTAATATGCAAACGATCAAATAATGCAATTTAAATGAGCAATAATAGCCTTGGGTCCATGGAATGACTGGAATAACCACCTCACGGGTCGTATGCCTCCACCAAGCAGTTAAGAAAAATGATCCTAATCTCCCCGTCTGCTCCGTAGGTATGACGCTGAATAATGATCGTATTATTTTTTATAAACTTCATGATGTCACAGTGAAGTTGAACTTTGATATTTACCTCTGCTAAGGTGGTTATGTTTTCTTCAGCCTTTGCTGGATTGTTAGCAGGACTGCGCAAAAACTACAGGATGAATTATTATAAAACTTGGTGGAAGGAGGTGGTGGGAGTCAATGAAGAACCCAAAAAATGTTGGTGTGGATCCAGATTAGGGGGCAGATCCAGGATTCAAGAAATCACGCATGGTTAGGGGACTGATGTTTATGAGCCCTTGGCAGAGGTATGCGCTCCACCGAGAGCCATTCTAGATTCTAGTTCGAATATAAAATGGAATCAATTCATCATCATATCCTTTTAGATATTTCTCTTAATTTTTTTCATGTGAATTCCTGATTTACGACCAAAATCATGTTTTGAGGTCGAAGTGAACGTTGTCATTTGGTGACTAAATTCTAATCAGTTCATCCTTGAATTGAAGTGGATGTGAGACGTATTGACAACCAAACACATTAAGAGATGTAATGCTGCTGACACTTCCCACAGATCAGTCAAATACTAAAAGATAATCTCACGATGTACCTCAGAGAAAAAGATAAATCTGTGAGGCAACTCTCAGGCGTTGATAAATGTGTCTCTTTCTAACTATCCATAATGTGGTTTAATTGCCATTTTCAAATTACCAAAGTCAACCAGTTTGACTCCTCCCTCGTTCGTCAGGAGGATGTTGTTGCCTTTGACGTCACGGTGGATAATCCGGTTGTTGTGCAAATGCTGGAGACCCTTTTAAATGAGAGGCCAGAAAACACAAAGTGCTCAGCATGAATCACAATCACATTCGTCATTAGTGACAATCAGAATGTGATGAATTAAAAGTTGAGTAGTGCAAATTATATAGGAAAACCTCCCACAGCAGTTAAGGGGAAGATGCATCCTTTACCACCTGAAAATAAATCCTCAGCACGTTATTAGCGTGTTTGCATCCCACCTCCTCCCCATCAGCAGCCGCTTTGCAGCGGGCCGTCTTACCAAGAGGGCGCTGTATAAGATGTATGAGATAACGGGCTCCTGCAGACGCTGGCCTCGCATGAGCAGACCTTTGATGAGTTCTGTGACGGAGCCGCCATTGCACAGCTGGGAGGGAGACAGAGGAACTCACAGTGACTCGTCCATCTTTCACAACACTCGAGATTATGATTCATAGGCTGAGCTGGCACACACACACACACACACACACACACACACACACACACACACACACACACA